CCTGTCTTAATTTCTAATTCTTTCTCTTCTTTTTCTGTCATATTTTTTGTCAATATATTAGTTTTTCCTTCATTTATAATTAAACCTGCTCATTCTCCAAAGTCACTGACTATTTCTTTTAAGTTTCGTAATATCACATGATGGGTCTTTCAGAAAGATTGCCATGTCATCTGTAAAGGCTCTTATTTTAAAGTGTTGCTTCTCAATTTTTAAACCTTTAATTTGTTCCTCTTTTCTTATTTTCCTTAGTAGTACCTACAATGAGATATGTATAGAGCTTTTTAACTGTTCTGTATCCACTTTAACTCAATGTTTTACCTCTCTCATTTCTTGTTTGATTTCATTCATTTGTTCTAACATCTTATTTTCCATACTTTTAAACTCTAAGAAAAGCCTTTCCACTGGATCTTGAACAGAAGGGGAGGGGGGCTTTGTTTGTAAATCTATAGACAATTTTATTGCCTGCATTGGCTTTTGCTTATCCTTTTCTTTCTGCATTCTTAACTTTTCCAATCTAGTATTTGAATATGTTTTCAGTATAGTGGTGCCTCACTTAGCGACGTTAATCCGTGCAGCAAAAAATGCTGCTAAGCGATTTTGTCACTAAGTGATTTTAAAAAGCCCATAGAAATGCACTGAAACCCCTTCAATGCGTTCCTGAGCTCCAAAACTCACCTTAAGCGAAAATCTTCCATTGTGGCGGCCATTTTCGGTGCCTCTAAAGCGAGGTAAAACAGCTGGCCAAAAATGGGGGCTTTGCGATGATCGCTTCCCCCAATCATCGCAAAGCGAATTTTCCCCATGGGACCGTCGCAAAGCGTTTGCTTTTGCGATCGCAAAAACAGCATCGCAAAGCGATTTCTTCACTATGCGGAGCAATCGCTATGCGAGGCAGCACTGTACTTAGTGTTTCCTTTCCCACTTTCTATCTAAAATATATCCACGTCTGTCTCTAGTCTCTAACTTCTCTTATCTACCTAATATTCATTTTGAAACAGAAAGTTAAATACCAATTCAAATACCCCAAAGCAAGTATGTAAATATTTTGTAAACCAATAGTCACAGTAAATAACATATATTTCTAAGTCTCTAAACCTCTTCAGTCTTTGTTAATTCCAGCCCTTTCCCCCAGCTGCTAGTTCTAATCACTTTTTCACAGCTGGTATATTGGCCAAGGTTAGTTTAAACAGACCTTTACAGTTCTTTCTTATAGTCTCTAATGTAATTCACCAAACCTTTTTGAATATTCCTAGAGACTTTAAAGACAGTCCTTCGAAATCTCAACCTCTTATTATTTAGAAAACAATATTAAGTCTTGATTTTCAAACCACTGGTTATTCCAGTTTATCCTCAGTTTCTTCAGTTCCGCCCCACATTGTTTTTCCTTGCATTCCAGCCAGTCTTACTCAGTCCTCCTTGTGATCTTTTAATTTTTCTTTTATTTTCATATTCTTTTCTTGGTCTTAATTTGGTCTTTTCAGTCTCAAACTCCCATTGTGTTATCCTAAGGTCTGTTGTTATTCTTCTAAAAGACTCTCTCTCTGCTCTGACGAATCCTCACTTTGCTCCAAGGTCTTTACTCACAGTCCGTTTTGCATTCACATACCCATCTCCTCTTTTAAAATCAAAGTGGACGACATGGCTTGGTTTCCATAGAAAATCGCTGGTTCAGCCTTGTGGCTGCCTTGCATATCCTCCTCTGAAAACTGGCAAGTCTGTTTTTTAACTCCTTTTCTTCTATTCACAGATACTGTATATATTTTCCCCCTAGGTGTCTCTGGAGTCAGCGTTTGGCTCCCCTCCAAGTTCCTCCTCTCCTGGAGGTTACTTTGAGTCAGCAGAAAAATCTCTTAGTTGACTTAATCTGAAACTGCCGCAGCTTTGATCCCCAGATCTTGCTGCTTTCGCCAGCCATACCCACCGGAAGTCAGCTTTGTTTTACTTTTATGATAAAATGAAAAGGTTGCACATATAACACAAAATTGGATGAAAATCATTTAATACTTTCAAAAGTGAAGTGGTAAGGAGAGAGGACACTTTATTATTATTAGAATAATAGACAATATAACCCCTTCATGGATTGCTGCCTTGTCGTGGCGAAGGGGCTTGAATAACTCAGAGAATCTATGGGCTATGCTGTGCAGGGACACCCAAGATGGACAGGACATAGGGGAGAGTTCTGACTAAACGCAACCCACCTGGAGTAGGAAATGACAATGCCACTCCAGTATCTTTGCCAAGAATGCCCCATGAACAGAAACAAAAGGCTAAAAGACATGACGCTGGAAGATGGGCCCCTCAGGTCGGAAGGCATCCAACATGCTACTGAGGAAGAGTGGAGGACAAGTACAAGTAACTCCAGAGCTAATGAAGTGGTTGGGCCAAAACCGAAAGGATGCTCAGCTGTGGACATGGAAGTGAAAGGAAAGTCCAATGCTGCAAAGAAAAATACTGCATAGGAACCTGGAATGTAAGATCTATGAACCTTGGTAAGCTGGAGGTGGTCAAACAGGAGATGGCAAGAATAAACATTGACATCCTGGGCGTCAGTGAACTAAAATGGACAGGAATGGGCGAATTCAGCTCAGATGATTATCATATCTACTGTTGTGGGCAAGAATCCCGTAGAAGGAATGGAGTGGCCCTCATAGTCAACAAAAGAGTTTCTAACATTAGCAACACTATTTACAAGTAGCAAATTATTCAAGTATTCTATTAGGCAATACTTAGCAAAAAATCCCTTTCTTCAGGTCAATTGAAATCATGGTCTGAAGCATGCATTCATCCACTATAACTGAGTTGCTGCAAAGCCAACTTAAAACTCAGCCCTTTCACAATGTAAAAGAAATTCAAAAAGAGTTATAAAACTAATGAGCAACAGATAATCAAGAAAAGAAAACATTCTACATACTACAGGCAAGCCATGGCAATCCCAACCAAATCTTCTATCCACGTGAAATCCACTCTGGTGAGCAAATCGTGTTACTATGTCTTTAATTGTTCCTGCAAGTATGTGTCCATAATGTGGAAGCCCTGTGGCAAATGGAGGTCCATCATAGAATGTAAACCTAAGTAAGAAGTAAAAACAAGCAGTTTATATTTAGAAACAAAAAACTGCTCACGTAGAACACTGAGGAACTCGGTCAAGAATATATTGTCTTACCTAGGTCTATTTTTGGATTGTTTTAGACATTCTTGAAAACAATTAAGTGTATTCCAAATCTGCAATATTCTCTCCTCCTCTTGTGGAAAGTTTATGTTTTCTGCAACTTGCTGAACCATCTTTTTCCTGTGTGAAACAAAGCAATACAAAAAAATTAAGACCCATTTTTTCCAAAGAATATATGATACATGGCAATAGCAGTTGTAGTATGCAACACTTAATAGAGTGATCTGAGTATGAATGATGCAACAGAAGTCCCCAATTGCTACATCCCAGCACACTTCATGGTACATGGGAAGAATCCTGAAGGTTTCTCCAGAGTTCTCTAGTATCATGTATGTAGTATTCTGACAATTATTTCCAGTGTAACCCTATTAATGTTTCCTCAGAAATAAATCCCTCTGTATTTAGTACACATATAGTCAATGCTCAGCGTATTCATATTCCTTTCCGTCTTTAAGCTTGCCATTCCACTCCAAACTAGCTGTAAACAGCCATCTGTGATCATGCAGGGGAAAAACACTTTAAGATCTTTAAAGAATCATGTGAACTACATGTTACTCCAATGCAGCAGGGATGCACACAGTGGAGATGAGAACAGGCAACTATGATGCTGCTTTGGGACCAAATATTTTCCCCTTGAAGATTTTATCAAGCCAAGAAATGACAGAAATATATCAGAAGCACCCAGATGTACACTACCATATATAAAAATTCCTATTCCAAGAAGCCTCCAGAAAGCAGGGGAGGGGAACAATTTTTTATCAGATGAGGATTGTGTGTGCGCATGTAACAACTGGGTCTTGGAAGATTATCCAGATTATGGGCTGCAATTTGCCCATGTTGGCATAAATGGTTGAAAAGAAAGGCCAAGTTTCAAAAGCAACTGAATATATTTCTTCTCCTGGCATCTCTTTGTTGAAGCTCTCTGGCCTAGTTTGTTCCTCAGTGCCCCCATGCTAGTTATTCTGCTAGGCAATTTTTTTTCTTACTTTAAAAAAAGACAGAACACAAATAAGAAGCTGTATGTTTCAAGGGACATGGTGGCGCTGCGGGCTAAACCGCCGAAGCCTGTGCTGCAGGGTCAGAAGACCAACCAGTTGTAAGATCGAATCCACGCGACGGAGTGAGCTTTGTCCCAGCTCCCGCCAACCTAGCGGTTTGAAAGCTTGCAAATGCAAGTAGGTAAATAGGGACCACCTCGGTGGGAAGGTAACAGTGTTCCGTGTCTAAGTCGCACTGGCCATGTGACCACGGAAGATTGTCTTCGGACAAAACGCTGACTCTACGGCTAGGAAACGGGGATGAGCACCGCCCCCTAGAGTCGAACACAACCGGACAAAAATTGTCAAGGGGAACCTTTACCTTTACCTTTTATGTTTCAAGCAATACTAAGTTTTTTTTATTGCCAGCAAGAACTGTCATACAATGGGGGGAAAATGTAACAGTGACCGGGCTATGGAGGCTGCTAAAGTATCAGCTCCATGCATAAGTCAGAGTATTATTTTTGGCCCATTTCTAACAACTGAAGCACTGCACTGAGATAACAGTGTCCAGTAACCACAGGGCACATACCTAAGAATACAGCACAGCCTTTCTTAAAACACTACAAAAATGAAAAAGAAACAGCAGTGTAGGTCTACACAGGTCTCCTGAAAAATAAGTTCCACTGGCTCCTGCAAGAGCCTGCTCAAGTTGTAAAAACTACCCCAAGTATCCCCTCAGATTCTTCAAAGATTTAAGTGTGTGCAATAATCTCCTCAGAAAACGTTGCCTGATGTCATCTCTGAGGCCTTTTTAGAGTCAGGCTCTGGTGTTTATTTTTGTGCCTGAACATTTCAGTGATAATTATGCTAGGTCCATTTTACCTTGAAAGGTTCATCTGTTTCCGGGGGGGGATACAAATTTTGAACATTATTGTTGCTCTTTATATCTTTAATTGTGAAGTACTATGACAGTTCTCAGAACAGGACAAAAATATTTAATATATAAACAAACCATGCAAGTTTGTGTGTTCAGGAAAGCCATACTCATTTGTTAAAGATCTATTCTTCAAGAGACCAAATGTATTTGGAGAAAGAATCACCACTAAAGCAAGACAGACTTAATAGTGTTTTAATCCTCCTTGACACCTCTGAGAGATACCTAGATAATTCAGAAATGAAAATTATCTTGAAGGTTCATTCTAGACATAAGATAGGGAGAAAGGAAAAAATATCCAACATATGCTCCATTTCATGGAACTTTAAATCTTGAAGTAATTTTTCAGCACTTAAGAATCAAACTTCTAAACACCTTCTTCCTAACAATCTCTTTTATCAATGGAAAGATTCCATAAGATCAGATTCCTTAATCATTTTGAATTTGCTAACATCAGTACTATATTCCAGCATGAATGCTCAATGAATATTGAAACAGTTCCTACATTAAGCACTAAATTTACAGTAAAATACCGAAACTAAAATGAAGAATTTTAGTTTATTATAACCTAGAGGAGGAATATTTTCTCCTATATACTCTAGGTCATAAATGAACAATCTCTATTGCTTCAAGGGCCACATTTGGTATTGCCTGATGAAACAGGAGCTATACATGCAACACATCAGCCTTCCCCAAGTTCCCCATGAATTGCAAAGACCTCTGACAAGTAGAGTTTTTCTCCATGTCAGGTGCAAGAGATCAACTGTGCCTCAAACCACTACATTACTAGGAGCAAAGCAGGACTCTTACAATGTTCATTGGGTTTTGGAGCAAAGTGCATCAAGATACTTAACGCCATTTCCAAAACTCACTGCAGTATAAGGTAATCTCCTCCTAGTATGCTGTATACCCTTGCTAAAATCTAAGAATCATCTTACAATTGCAGGACCCTATCATGAGAAACATGCCAGTAACAGCCACAAATAATGACTATCTAAGCCAAGGGACAAATTGTGGCCTTACATACATGATACAATTATTGTTCAAAACTGACAACTTTCCTCTCTAGTTACATTGATAGAGCAGGAAGAGTACTTGAAAGGAGAAGATGGGGAAGAAATTTAACAAGAAGGCCTGCATACAGTCAAAGTGGCACTGCTGAGTCCTTGTGCAAAGTTCTGCCTGCATGATGTGACTGTGACACAAACTATGGGCAGGATTTCCTATTAGAAGTGAGTAACTGGATTGCCGTCTTAAAAGCTAGCTGTCATCATGACACATTTATCAATAACGGATTCTGCTGACAATCTGCTATGACCGAAGGTAGCAAAAATTTGCATCTAGTTCAACTATTTTAAAGGTGAACATTCCTTTAATTATCTCAAAAGAATGTCATACGGGAGAAGAAATATTTTTTTCTCTTTCAGACAAAACCTCATACATTTGCACAAACTTTTCCTTCCATTTTGGAAGGAGGCGATTCAAAAGCAGCTTCTAGGGTGAAAGAGAAGCATTCCGTGTCATTCCCATTGCTTTTAACTGCAACTGATGCTGACTGACAAGCCTGATCAGAACCGTACTAGCCATTCCCTTTTACACTCAACAGCAAAAGCAGTGCAAACAGAAATGGGTAGCCTTTGCAGACACGCCGTTGCTTATATATGGTGTAATTTCAGACAATGCTTTGTCGGTTAACCTTGAATTGACAGGGTACTAAGAAAAAAAACTGAAAAAGAACAGAGAGCACAATAAAATCTATTGCAGTACACTGGCACTTACACGCTACCTTTAATACTCCACTGGCCGTGAAACACTTCTTAAAACTATCAGACTAATATCGGCCACACATACTTTAAAAAAAAAACCTTAAACCTACCCTTTCTGATACCAAAGGAGGAGGAAGGCCGGCGCCACTGTCAGCTTTGTAGAAATTCAAGACACCAACCCCACCCCATTCAGCAGCTGCTACCCGAGACACGAATAAGAAGAGGATTGTCTGGCTGAATTTCTAACACCAGCAGATCGGGCAGGAAGCAGAAAATACAGTCCCTCCCACCCACGCCAAACGTACCTGCTTTCCCCCCGACCAAGCCGGTCTCCTCACCTGCCTCGACGCCCGGCTAGAAATGATGCAACCGAAGCGAAAGAGAATGAGGAGGGGGGGAGAAAAAAAATGAGGGGGGGGGGCGGGGGGGGGAGCAGCGAAGACTCGCCCACTTGCCGCGGCCACTCATAACGTTCCACACAGAGGAGGCCAATAAGGCGACCTCTCATTGGGTGGGTGTGTTTCCCAGCAACCATAAATCTTTCTCTCGGATGGGGAAAAAGGAAATGCAAGTGTCGAGCAAGCGGAAAAGCTGGACTACATCCGGAGCGTCTTTTTCTCGGTCTGAGGGAACGGGAGATGTTCCACGAAAGCTTACGTCGAAATAGAGCAATTAGTCTTTAAAGTGCCGCAACGACTCCTTTGGCTTTTGTTTTGTGTTTCTTCTTGAAATCCTTGAGGAAACGAACACGGCTGCAACTCCGAAAATTGCTAGAACATATAACAGTCCTCCTTATTGGTGATAACTGTATACGAGAGACCATTAGAAAACTCTTCCCCCCCCAAGAGAATCCCCATTTTTCTTCTTAATCTTGTTGCAAGATAACAGCTTAGCTTGATGTACCTTTATAAACCACAGACATCCAGTACCAAAAGGCAACCTGTTAATGAAACGTCGCAAATTTATATAGTGTGGTTGCAATTCTGTGCCTGCTTACTTAGAAATAAGATTTACTTCAGAACAAGCTTGAAGTCCCTACTGCTTCCTTTAGATAGGACAGATTAAAAGCGTGTGCAGTATATTGGGGCTTTTTATCTTGCAAAGAAATATTACCATTTATAAAGCTGGGGGAAGCATCAGAAAGTCCACTAAATTTTTTAAAAATCCAGTTTCTTTTTGATCATCTTCATTGACTGGTTACTTCTGTGGTAGTGGCTCATAGTATTCAAATCTGAAAGTTTTCCTGTTGTTGCCACATCCACTTAACAAATTTATACTTGAGACTGGTTGAATTGTTATGCTCACTCTAGGACCATTGCATTAATGCAAGAAAAGTGATTTAAGATTTTGCAACAAAGACTTTTACCATTTATGGAGCAACAAATGGCATGGTTTACAATGTGGATTTTAAAATAGAAATAGCATTGTGTTGTGAACATATTTTTTTACAGGACGGTACTAAAGAATTTCAGAAGGAAAAACATTCTGTACTGTGTAGAATACAGTAAATACATTAACTGTGTGGATTGTGACAAATTAAAATATGCTGCTTATGTACTGCCCCATAATTGGTCCCACCCCATTCATGTTGGTTGCTTTGCAGACACTGTCCAGCCATCTCATCCTTGGTCGTCCCCTTCTCCTCTTGCCATCACACGGCACGGTTTACAATGTGGATTTTAAAATAGAAATAGTATTGTGTTGTGAACATATTTTTTTTACAGGACAGTACTAAAGAATTTCAGAAGGAAAAACATTCTGTACTGTGTAGAATACAGTAAATACATTAACTGTGTGAATTGTGACAAATTAAAATGTGCTGCTTATATACTGCCCCATAATTGGTCCTACCCCACAGGTGCATTTGGTGAGGACATGAGAGAGGGCTTTGTCTGCCACTGCTCCCAGACTATGGAAGTTAGATTCATACCCCGCCCATTTAGTGAGCATGCCACTACTCTGGGCAGCTTACAAAATCTGATTAAACATACAGCTAAAAATATTAAAACCCTATAAAACACATTAAAAGGGGGGGAAACCCTAACTCCCCCTCCCTTGAAATCCTTGGGATATATGATGGCAGACAACAGGCCCATTTAGTGAGCATGCCACTACTCTGGGTAGCTTACAAAATACTATTAAACATACAGCTAAAAATATTAAAACTCTATAAAACACATTAAAAGGGAAAAAACCCTAACTGCCCCCCTTGAAATCCTTGGGATATAGGATGGCAGACAACAGGCTAGAGTAATTTTAGAGGTTTGTGCTTGGGGCGGCCTGGGTAAAAAGCCAGGTTTTAATTTGCTTGCAGAAGCAGTCATACTTCTACAGGAAGTTAGTTCCAGAGCAGAGCGGCCACTACTGAAAAGGCCCGGTTTCTGGTTGATGCCTTCTGGGTCTCTTTTGGAGTGGCCACCTGGATTGCAGTCATGAAAGCTTTTATTTGTTGGGCATGTGCTGAGGATGGGGCTATGCAGAAACAATTGTAAACATGGTGAAAACATAGCTTCTTCAAGAGTGAGAAATAAAGCCTGTCTTACTTATGGAGCACTGTTAATGCCGTAAAAGGAGTGCTTCCAGAGAGACAGCTCCTTAGACCACCAGGCAAAGATACATCAGCAACTATTCCAATTTTTCTTCCTTAATTAATTTTTTAAAGAATGAAGTAAAAAAAGAAGCAGGTGAGGAACACAAAAGGATTTCATATGTAAAATAATGCCTGGATCCTCCATTTAAACTCCATAAATGCAGCAGGGTGATTCTGATTCTGAAGAGACCCTTTTCCATTCTTCCTTAATTAATTTTTTAAAGAATGAAGTAAAAAAAGAAGCAGGTGAGGAACACAAAAGGATTTCATATGTAAAATAATGCCTGGATCCTCCATTTAAACTCCATAAATGCAGCAGATGATTCTGATTCTGAAGAGACCCTTGTCCATCAGGGGCAAAAGAGGCAGTCCGGAAACCAGCAAAATCAGGGAGCTGGACAGGGAACAGATTGTATTTGTCTTCAGTGTGGAAGGCATTGTCACTCTCAAATTGGCCTTCTCAGCCACACTGGACGCTGTTCCAAGTCCTCCATACAGAGCACATTACCATAGTCTCGCGAGACTGAAGGATGCCTAATCTGATTCTGATTCAATAAAAATCCCCATCTGAAAGGACTACAACTAAACATGTACTGGTGTCAGTTAACATGTCAGTAAAACTCAGTTGATATCTGCAAATATTGTGTGAATCCTGGTTTAAGGAGGGATGTTAGAATGATGGGGCTAACTGTTGTCCCTTTTGAATCCTTACCCTGATAGATTGCTTATGTCCTCTGAACTGAATACAAAAAAGATCTCGGGATAAAAGCATGTACAAATTTACCCAGGAAAGGAATGATTAGCTTCGTGAGGGTAAGCCAATTGATTGGCAGGGGGTGGGAGTGAGATTGTAACAGAAATTGTTCAGTGTTTAAATATTAAAATTCTAGCTTAATTTCACAAAGTAAAAATATTGAACTTTTTTTGAGAGAAGTCTTAGAAAATGTGGCATCTGTTCTTTATGAAGTGTTGGAAGTGTTATTTTTCCAAGCTCTGTTATTACATACTGATCTTCAAGGTCTAAAAAAAGTAGCTCAGGGTTACTGTCCTACATAAAATAACCTAAAATATTATCTATTTTGGGGGGGGGGATGCACATACCAACACATAAGTGGAAATGTGATTTGGTCTACAGCAGTTGGGTAGCCCCTTCATGAATTGCTGCCTTGTCGTGGCAAAGGGGGTTGAGTAATTCAGAGAAACTATGGGCTATGCTGTGCAGGGACACCCAAGACGGACAGGTCATAGTGCAGAGTTCTGACTAAACACGATCCACCTGGAGCAGGAATTGGCAAGACACTCCAGTATCTTTGCCAAGAAAACCCCATGAACAGAAACAAAACGATAAAAGATATGGCACTGGAAGATGAGCCCCTCAGGTCGGAAGGCGTCCAACATGCTACTGGGGAAGAGTGGAGGAAAGGACAAATAGCTCCAGAGATAATGAAGTGGTTGTGCCAAAGCCGAAAGGACGCTCAGCTGAACCTTGGTAAGCTGGAGGTGGTCAAACAGGAGATGGCAAGAATAAACATTGACATCCTGGGCATCAGTGAACTAAAATGGATGGGAATTGGCAAATTCAATTCAGACGATTATCATATCTACTATTGTGGGCAAGAATCCCATTGAAAAAATGGAGTACCCCAATAGTCAACAAAAGAGTGGGAAAAGTTGTACTGGGAAACAATCTCAAAAATGAAAGAATGATTTCAATATGTATCTACTATTGTGGGCAAGAACCACACAGAAGAAATGGAGTAGCCCTCATAGTCAAGAAAAGAGTGGGAAAAGCTGTATTGGGAAACAATCTCAAAAATGATAGAATGATTTCAATATGAATCCAAGGCAGGTCTTTCAACATTACAGTAATTCAAGTTTCTGCACCAACCAACCATGCTGAAGAGGCTGAAATTGACCAATACTATGAAGACTTACAACACCTTTAGAACTGACATTAAAGAAAGATGTTCTTCTTATTATATAGGATTGCAATGCTAAAGTAGGGAGTCGAGATAAAAGGAACAACATGAAAGTTTGGCCTGGGAGTTCAAAACGAAGCAGGGCAAAGGCTAATAGAGTTTTGTCAAGAGAACAAGTTGGTTATCACAAACACTCTCTTCCACCAACACAAGAAGCAACTCTACACTTCGACATCACCAGATGGGAAATACCAAAATCAGATTGATTATATTCTCTGCAGCCAAAGATGGAGAAGCTCTATACAGTCAGCAAAAACAAAACCGGAAGCTGACTCTGGCTCTGATCATCAGCTTCTTATAGCAAAATTCAAGCTTTAACTGAAGGAAGTAGGAAAAACCACTGGGCCACTCAGGTATAACCTCAACCAAATCCCTTATGAATACACAGTGGAAGCAAAGAACAGATTTAAGGAACTAGATTTGGTGGACAGAGTGCCTGAAGAACTATGGATGGAGGCCCATAACATTGAACAGGAGGCGGCAATAAAAACCATCATAAAGAAAAGGAAATGCAAGAAAACAAAGTGGTTGTCCAACAAGGCCTTACAAATAGCAGAGAAGAGAAGGGAAACAAAATGCAAGGGAGATAGGGAAAATTACAGAAAGTTCAATGCAGACTTCCAAAGAATGTCAAGGAGAGATAAGAAAGCCTTTTTAAATTAACAGTGCAAAGGAACAGAGGAGAATAATAGAAAGGGAAAAACCAGACATCTGTTTAGAAAAGTCGGAAATATTAAGGGAACATTTTGTGCAGAGATGAACATGATAAAGGACAAACATGGGAGGGACCTAACAGAAGCAGAAGACATCAA